TTCATTAATTAATTTTACAAACTCACAGATGTGAAATGCTTACGGGCTGCCTATGGGCTTTTTTCCCTCACCATCTAATTTCGACAGGATGTCACGGAGACATGTCATGTGATGTGACGTCAGTATATTTATAAATGAGTAAGCTATTGAAATCACAACTTTGAAATGTCCATATTTAAGGCAACAAGTTACTGATAATTGTGCCAAGACATTTGCTAAGGGCTTTTCCACAAACTGAAAGTAGTGACACATGACATGTATTTTGATATCAATAGCCTACTTTGACAAATGATTAAGCTACTGAAATCACATACTTTAAATTCCCATATTTAATGGTATAGGTCACTGATAATGATGCTTAGAGATTTGCAAAGCATTTGCTGGCTCGGAATGACATTCTTCAGTATATGCATCAAAACAATATATGTACAATTGACAGATTGTACAAATTTTCAGATTCAAATGACATACAAAATACTATTCAAGTTTGTTATACAAATTATGCCAGACATAAAGTACAAAAGATATTCAAAATATCATCTGAATTCCCGAATTAGTTGTGCAGATTATAGGAATGCAGATGGCATTCACATAACCAGTACACACGTACAAGCGGATGGGGTTGATAATAATGATAATATATATATATATATATATGGCTACTCAGCATTTTCCTCATCTTTGTAGGTATTAAAGAAGTATTTTTTCATTCTATTTTTAAATTGATTGATATGAATACTGTTCTGCAGGCCCTCTTCTAGCCCATTCCACAGTGTCACTCCATACGATGATATACACATGAGCTTTAGGGTGGTGGTACAAACCACTGTCACAGTCTCATCTTTCATATAAAAAAAATTTGGTTTACACACACACACACACACACACACACCGTATCAAAGCATACACAGTACCTTTAATATTACATTTCTCAGAAGTGAATTTAATGTACTGTAATGTAGCTACTTTTTGTGGAAAGGATTTACATTGGTGTTACAAAATATATATAGGAATATGTATAGAAACAAATAGTTGTGATATGTTTATATTAATTTATATTAAATATATTGACATTCAATCTAAATGTATATTACATAATTTACATTATATAACATATATCAAATCATATTTAAAAACTTCAAAATTAAACCTTTTTTCCTTCAGATTTCAGGAGGATATTAAGTTTCAGAGACTTTTTTTTTTTGTTTTGATTTTTTGCAGTGTTGGAAAGTACCTTCACTAAAGACCAATTCTGTTTTTCTTGTATTCTTGAGTATTTCTATTTTATGCTACTTTTTTTACATCTATTTCACCACAAGAATGGTAAACTGTAAACTTTACTTAAATAACTCAATTTTTGCTACTTTAAACTTCTACCCAAATACATGTAGAGGGAAATTTTGCTCTCTTTACCCCACTAAATTGATTTTAAAGCTTTCATCAATTTGCAGATTATTAATACAAAATAAAAGCAACTATCCTAATAAAGCTCCCTTTTTTCCAGCTGCAACATTAAAGTGATCTAAACATTTAATTCATATCCTTATGATATCATGTGAAAAATAAATTGGTCGACATTATTTAAGGCATCAGCAATAATCTGACAGTATACTGTACATTGTTATGAAATGCTTCACTCTGAATGTACTGTTAATTTTGATAGTTTAAATATATTTAACGCTAGTACTAAAGTAACATTTTGAGCGCAGGACTTTCACTTGTAACAGAACATTTCTACACAGTGGTATTCCTACTTTTACTTAAGTAACTTAAGCACTTCTTTCACCTCTGGTCATTGTACTTGGGAAGATATTGTCCCTTTGACTCCACTAGATTCATCTTACAGCTTGAGTTTCTTACTGTTGATTTAAGTTCATCATTCACAAGTCAATAGGTGAATGACATAATAACCATCCAGTAGTGTATGAAGCAGTTAAAGTAGGCCCACCTTGACCAGCTACAACATTAAAATGCTTAACCTGCATTAATAAGAAATATTCAGGTAATATAACAATCTGAAAGAAGCTTTACAGCACTGAATGACTAATTGTACTTTTGATACGATAGGTATTTCGTGCTGGTTATACATTAGTAAAAATCTTAAAAGTTGTATCAAAGTATTTTTACATTGTTATGTAGTAAGTTTGTTTATATACCCTTAAATCACAAGTTTATATCAGAACAGAGGACTAACAACCTACAGCACACAACATCCTCTATCCTCAGAGCTTTGACATAAAAAACACACACAGAGCGGCCCATCTAATGACTCAGTTTTGAAACACATGACATGACTCAGCTCATTAGACAACTTCAGAAAGTTAGGGATGAAGTAACACTTATAGTCACACATCAGGACATGACTAATTGGCTTTCTGGGACATACTGTGTTGGTTGCCACGTTCAAAGTTCACACTGTAACACAGATAGGTTTGTTATAGCTGTGGCACAATTACCAGCCGAGCAGAGTGAGCAGCTGCCACTGAGCACCCAAAGCTTCACGTTCACACCTGTCTGTGTGACCGACGGTGGTGTGTTTAATGGTTATTTTGCTGACGAAGTATCCATCAACTAAAGGACAGTATCTCCTGAAATAATAGGGTCCTGCTTTTATACTGGATTTTAGTCCCTGCCTTGAAGAGCCCTGTGTCAATATGTAGTTTTCGATGACAACCTGATCAGAACTCTCAGGTCGACAGGCAGGGGTTTTCCAGCTGTACCCACAATTAGATCCAGTTCTGGTGAAGGTGCCTTCAGTCACTGTGGTGCCAACAAGCTGCCTGCTGACTTCAGGTCCACCAAACCTGCGTGAGAGTGTGTGTGTTTGTGTGTGTGTACTCATGTAATCACACTTGTTTTTTTGATAGCACAGAGGTTTGATTGTCTTACTGTCAATGACTCATCTTGTATTCTTATCTGCGTTGTTTATGCCTCCAATGTTCTTGTTTTCTTTCATATTGTCTGTCAAGGTAAGGGACTTTGAGTTTATGTGAAATGAAATGTGCTATATAAATAAAATTCCCATTGCCACTTTAAGGTGATCTGGATACTCTGTTTACACTGTACATTCCTAAATCAAATACTGGTGGGGTCGTACTGTATGTGGGACAGGACTTTGGCTCCTTGCTGTACTCAGAGGTCACTATATGACTAAACAGCTGTGAGACATTTGAAGGAGCGTGTGTGTAGTTTTAGTTCCTGGTGTGGGGGAGTCTGGGAACGTTAGCAAAACCAAAAAATTATAAATACATAAACTGAAAGTCAGTTCCCTGTATTTGTAAAGACATCTGTGACTAACACAGTATAGAAAAGAGGTATTGTTTTTTATCTTCCTGAAGACCCATTTACTAGATATCTTTTTAATTCAAGGCCTGAGGTGTGAGTACTATTCTTACAAAAACAAAATAAAAAAAATCACAGCATTCTCTCAAAGGGTAATGACAGCTGCGAGTATGCCGTTAAATGTTATTTTAGTCATTCAGATTTTGTAACACACCATGGGATAATAATAATAATAATAATAATAATAATATAGGCTAATGATAATAATCTTCAGTTATGGTGGAGTGGCATTTAGAAGAAATCACGCTGCACACAGACCAATGAAAAGTCTGATAAATGGTCTGTTGTTGCTATGGGGATCCAAGCAACATGCACATGTGAAGTGTGGTTGGGTCCCACTTCATCTGCAGAGGAGGAAGTGGGTTTATGAAGATTTCGCTTTGTCTGTTGAAATGATTTGCCTATTAATTACTGGTGTTACAAAAATTGATACTCAGGATGTTGACTCACAAATATTTAGTGACCTGGTTTGACATTTGTAAAACTTGTGTGAGGGTTTGTCTTTCCTCTTCATCAATTTCACTGATTGCTGTTGACACTACAAATCTCACAAATTTCACTGAGTGATAAAGTGATAAGTTGGACAACATTTCAAACCTTATTTATCCCAAAAAGGATTGAAACAAAATCTATTTTTTGAAGCTCACACACAAGACTTTCAGATCTAAAGTTGTCATACTTGGTGCTGTTGACTGCTGTCATGTGAATTTGTCATAACACAATGAGTTGCCACAGCAACAGTCGAGTAGCAGCCCTGTTATAGATCATCTCATTTCACTACGAAGTGATCACATGCCAAATTATTTTGCTCGTGGGTGCTGTGGTAGTGAAACCTACATATATTTCCTTTCTACAAATGGTGATTGTGCAGTCTAGTTGAAAATCAGTTTGTGTTTAATGTGTCTGACGTAACTTATCATCTGAAGAATCCCTGCCATAACCAGATACCTGCAGATCACCTGCACAGTGTGCTGTAGAGGCCGGTATCTATCATGTATAATTCAAGATGTTTTTAACAGTGTCTCCATTACTCCTGTGTATAGTGCAACACACAACAGCGCCATCTGCTGAGCACTGGGCTCTATTACATAATTCATGAGTCCATAACCAGCTGTGATAGTTTGGCAGTTGCTCTGGTGTCCTACAGCACCTATTGGTGGGAGCTCATGATTATTATTGTCGCATACATATACTATCATATATTAATATATACTTACAACATATGCTACCACAGTTATCATTTTAATTATACTAAAATTAATGTTATAGTAGCTATTATTACTATATGCCCTGTATCTCTCCATCCATCTCTCTTGGTGTGCCTCAATTCCTCTCTCTCTCTCTCTTTATATATCATTTTGTCATATGGATTACTTCAAATTCATTCTTGATCTGTTCTGTGCAATATCTATTGCTCATTCGTTCGTCCGTCCTGGAAGAGGGATCCCTTCTCAGTTGCTCTGCCTGAGGTTTCTACCATTATTTATTATTGTTGAATTGAAAACCTTAGGATACAAGTAGCTGCTTTATAATAATTTTTTTCCAGGAGGCAGCTCACGCTTTACCTCAGCAGTGACACCTTTCTCAAACCTCCTAAACACCACTAACATTTGATTTACTTGAAGGACATTCTGCAATGAAACAAGAAATTTAAACAGTTTGGTGTTTTGTATAAATTTTATTCATGTTTGAAAAGAGTTTAGTCGAACAGGCCGAATCCCATGTCGTCATCGGACTCCTCAGACTCCTCCTTCTTCTCTTCCTTCTTCTCCTCAGCTGCAAAACAAAAAAAGGCACTTGATGTTATTTCCTGCTCAAATCACCAAAACATATTTAGTAACAGCTTTGCTCATGAGGCCATGAAAGTATTTCATGCAGTCACTGAAACTTCAACTACTGTTGGGTTTACATGCCAAATGGTTTTATAAACGTGAAGCCGTGTACTGTTCCTAACAAATATGCTACTTCTGTTTCTCCAAAATGACCCACGTTTGAGCCATCACATTAATGTCACAAATTTAAAAAATCTATGACTGATTACATTACCTACATGACCACAAGGTACAGTGTCAGATTTAATTTATGACTTATTAGAGTTACATAATTAAATTAAATGGAAAAACTACTGATGACTAACTGACTTGGCTCCATGTAATCACATTAACATACAAGGTGAAGGCAAAGGCACCGTGTGCCAAGTGTCATGGATGCTGACAAACAAGGTGCTAAGCTGCAAAGCTCACCTGCAGGGGCAGCAGCTCCGCCAGCGCCAGCAGCCGCAGAGCTGGCAACGGCCACGGCACCGCCTGCTGGCATGCTGGCCAGTTTACCGTAACCTGAGGAGACACGAGTTGGCAGACATAAAGCACAAGTGATAACATTGACACTCAGCAGCCAGAAACAAGATAGAGGTCAGACACAGTATGTTGTTATCATTAGATATAATCTGGCAATTTAGTCGTGTAGTAAAACTGACATAGCTTAAATGCTGCCATTTCCTGGCCTCAAAGTGAGAACACGCTCAATCTATTTTAATGCTTTAGCTAAGTGAAATTAACAGTTATTGCCTCTGCCTGCTGTTACACAGAACTCCTGTTATTAAGCATTTCTAGTCTGTAGTTAACACGGTGAGGAAACTTCTGATTTCAAACTAAAATCTAAATTTATCATTACACAAAGGCACAAAAACACTGACAAAAGGGCACATTGGCACGCTCACCTGTGGCGATCACCTCCTCCACATTCTTGCCTGACAGCTCACTGATAACCTGTTGAGAGAAATCAAATTTGTAAATATCACAAAGGCAATGACAAGCCGCCGGTCAAACTGCTGCCACCAACACCAGCAACACATTAAAGTGCCAGCTGCTCTGTACCTTGTCCAGGCGTGTGTCATCAGCCTCAATGCCAACACTTTCCAGGATCTTTTTGATGTCCTTGGCCTCGGGGTTCTCATTGCCACCGAGGGCAGCGAGCAGGTAAGCAGCAACGTAACGCATCCTGAAAAAACGATGACCAGAAAGGTTAAAACTTTGAGTAGATGTGTTCTAGTCTCTTATTCTTTAATGTCTGTTAAGAGGACATTCAAACATGACTAAAATGTTGTCTTTGTACTTTGTCTTGATGATCATGTAGAGCACTTTGTAATTGTGCAATATAAATAAACTTGCCTTGCCTTAATGGACATCGCCAATCAGAGCACACAAAGACATTTACAAGGTTGGCCACCTTCTAATACAGTTGTAAATTATCCCAATAAAGACAGAACAAAGTCGAATGTGATAACGTACAGAAATTCTTAGTAAACATTTACTCTAAATAGATTGAAGATAACCATCAAAACAAATGTGGCATGTACAAAACCTGCACTGTCTTTACGTGCTTAGTGGCACCTCTTTGAGCAAAAATAACATTAAACATTTCTTGCTGCTAGCTGTAAACACTTCCATTCTGATTTTCTGCTTTAAACTACTGTCAAATTGTTCTGAAAATTTCTTAAACCTTCTCGCAGGTGTTGCAAGTTTCAGATTTAACCAAAGATGTTTTTAAAGATTCAAGTATAGTAACTGAAGGCAAAACCTTTACACTTTCTTGATGGCTTATTCTTGATTATGAAATAGGCTATAATTAGAAATGATGTAAATGTATAGGAAAACTATGATAGTGCTTTTATATGTACTAAAATATTACTGTGATTTTAAAAGCAAGCAAATAAAGTTATAGTAATATTGAGCAACTAGCATATTCTCCTGAGGTTGTTTCCTACAGTATAGGCAAGTTTTAATATGGCCACGCTTTCGCATACTGAAAGTGTTCAATGTCAAATCATTTTATAGTTCAATAATTATAATTAGCATGAGAACTGTATGTCATAAAACACTGAAGTGCTGGTTTTCTAGCCGCAGGAGAGGTGAACAGGCACCAAATCTAAGTATCTATCGGGTCTTTGAGTGAACGGCGACAACTACATCTTTGAAGGTATTTAACAGAAAGTCGCTGAAATGAAAACTATTTAGATTTACTCCTCTAAGTCTTTTTAAACGTGACAAGAGAAACTGCACTTTTTACACCCATGTGGCGGCGTGTTCTGCAGTCCCGTTGTCACAAGCTAACGTTAGCCGCCACCGACGTTACGGTGGGAAAAAGGAGATAATTTCGCTAATATGCCGCTTTTAGATGTTTTAAACTAACTGGGTTTAAAGTGTACTTATTTATGGGGATATATCGAGTATCCTCCCGGTGGTTAACACATTTATTACAACATAAAAAAGACACTCACTTGAGCTAGAAGGCGAACGCGTGTTCACTCGGAGCTTAGCACGGACAGAAAGGAAGTTACGTCACGGGAAGAAGGCGGAAGAAACCTCGCTTCTTCTTCGTGTTCAGTAAAAGAGGGATACAACGGGTAAATCGCTGCCTGCTGCTCCGGAGTGTCAAATGGAAACGTTACACCTCAATGTGGCTCGACTTTGTGGAGCTGCTGGTTTAACAACCTGATTTAAAATAAGTGTCCTCCATTTAAAATCAACAGCTGTGAGTTTTAATTTCATTACTGTAGAAATTCAATATCAATATATACATAAAGCGTGCTGACATCTTATTGTGTAGTCATGAACTGTTAAACACAGACAGGGCAACTCTCTCTTTTAATGCAATATAACTCACAAAAAAGGGTTCCCCACCCATAGTGTCTGTTGTTGATGTAAAAACACATTTTATTTCTATTACAAACACCAGAATACAGAAAAAACAATGACATGCAAAACAAGTGTTTCTGAATGGGGCATTTAAATCTCATGACCTTCCAAGACAGAGTTGATCCTAAAGGTCAAAGCACAACATGTCAGAAAACACATCAACATTTCACAAAACACATCTAAAAAAAAAAACACATTTCATGAAACGCAACGGTATTACATTAAACACAGCAACATTTACAAAAACAATGACAACAGAGAACACACAATAACATTTGGTAAGATTCTGACCGTAACAGTGTAGTGTTTTCTCAGATGTTGTGTTTTCTGATATGTCATTGGGTTTTGTTAGAAGTTGCTGTATTGTTTTAGCCCTCAGGGCCGCCATAAAAAAACCCCAGAGTATATGTTGTTGATGTAGACATTTATTTTATTTCTATTAAAAACACCAGAATACAACAAAAGAACAATGGCATGCCAGAGACATGTATCTGAATGTGGCGTTCTAAGCTCATGATCTTCCAAGATAGATAGTTGTCTACCTTCTTTTTGTACTCGAAAGGTTAACTTCAAGTTTATTTTTGTATTTTTTTGTGTAACGATGCAGCAATATTAAAATGTTCCATTCTTCTTCCATGTTATTCCATGAAATTGTATTTGATAGTATAAAGAATGGTGGCCCTGAGGGTCAAAACACATCAACATTTTACAAAACACATTTCAAAAAACAAGTTTCCCTAATGCAATGATATTTCATAAAACACAACAATGATATAAGAGGAAACAAGCATTTGGTGAGACTCTAACTGTAATGCTGTAGAGTTTTCTGACATGTCATTGTGTTTGGTGGAATGTTGTAGTGTTTTAGCCCTCAGGGCCGCCATAATAAAGACCAAAAAAAAGTAACATGGATACACCTCATTGAAGCTGTTTTAGTCATCATTCTGATTTTGTTTTCTTGTTATGTGTTAAATCTCTCCTGGATTGTGTCCCTGTAATTTGGGTCTTCACAGATTTTACTGCAGTGTGTGGAGAGGAAGTTTTCTCAGACAGATATCTTATAATCCTCACATGAGAATATATCTTATAATTTATGTTTATGTGTTTTAATTAGTTTTGTTCTTTGTGGTAGAATTGCTGCTTCCATAATGCTGCAGTCTTACCTATAAATTCTGCCTCTCTTCCCTCTGAACAGGTTCTGTGTGCAAGTGCATATGTGTTTCACTGTGCAGTATACTAACATGAATCAATTTATTTTTCCTTGTCTGCTCCCACTGCTGATTTGGCGGCTGATCCAGTTCAGCCTCCTGCTTCGTCCTCGGCCCCTGCTGCTGCTGCTGGGCTCGCTCTCGGCTGTGATTGACTTTGCTTGCCAGAAAAGACGGAGTGAACCGTCCTCATGTGACTCTCTGCAATGGACCAGGTCCACACCATGAGAAACCAGCAGCTGTGCTCTGCTCTCAAGCTGTAGTGTGAACAACAAGCTCTAATGAATCGCTGTCACATGCACTGTTTGGTTCCAGGCAACCAGCCACTGATCTGCCACTGAGCTCCTCCAGACATCTACAGCACGTATGGATGCATCTGGTTAAAGTCACATCTTAAACATGACTATATCCAGAGTGGGAAATGCTTTAAGGACGCTTAAACATCAGCAGGAGCAGCAGATGGAAGAGACACCAAACCCCAAAACCCAATTTTATATATAGCAAGACTTTTGTCTCAAGAATTAAAAAAAATAACAATCTAAAATTTAAAAATCAGTGGTTCACAAAGTGCCAATGCACAAAACATGAGAGAAAAGCTTTGTGACAGGTGTAACACATGACATTAAAAGTATCTGCATTACAATAATTGCTGAAATGCAGCCATCATTAATTTTTGAGTGACATCAATAAATAAATAAGAATACGAGGGATTCATGACAGGGGTGAACCCAAAATATGAGGAAGCCTATCTTCCTCTCCAGTTTATGGTCAATACAACGTAAGGCTGTAGCCATGGAATCAACACGGCGGGGACCAAACCTGCTGGGGGGGTCTGAGGGTTCCCCCAAACGAAGAAATTTAAAGTTTTAAAATGTATTTCCTTTTATATATGATGTCATTTAACACAAGCAAGCATATGAATATGCAGTAAATGAAAGATCCTACTGTCTACATAAATTCCACATGACTGACACTGTAACGCTCATATCACATTCTAGTATTCCACTCTTTAATACATTTATAAGTCATGGTATAAAGAGTAAATACAGTGTTTGCCATTGATTGTACCGACCCACAGCTGTTGAGCAATGGCTTAAAAGCTGGGATGTGTAAATGAAATGCACAGGTATGGGCCCAAAAAAAACCCAACAATTTTTTTCTGTTTCCACTGTGAAAAGTCATGGATGGTACCAGTGGAACCGTTCCGTACCGTCCCCATTTTTGGTCCCCCCTCTGTTGGGGTACCTAGCACACAGATCTGGTACTAAAAGGTGGAGCTGTGAATACTGCAGTCCGTTGATTGGTCAATAGAGGACGGTCACTCTGCTCAGGGCTGAGTTGTGGCTGGTTTTGAGGCTCATGTTACCACTGCGTTTTGCATACATCTGTAGACTGTAGCTATAAAATGAAAGGATGTTTTGCTGCCTCTCACAGCAGCTGTGGTCTGAGAAAAAAATAACTTAATTCCCTGGGCCGACTGCTGGCAACTTTTAAGGTGGAACATTTACTTATGAAAACTTTGACTGTTACTTTAGTTTTTTTTTAAAGATTATTTTTTGGGGCTTTTTTTGCCTTTAATGGACAGGGCAGAGTGAAGAGTGTGAAGTGAGAGAGAGGGGGATGACATGCAGCAAAGGGTTGCAAGCCAGAGTTGAACTCGCAGCCGCTGCAGCGAGGCATCACCTCTATACATGGGGCGCCGGCACTATCCATTACTTTAGTTTTTTTATTATCTATTGAGTGGATCTTCAAGTGTTTAAAAATATATATTAATTTCAACCAGATCATTTGAACTGCATATCCCAATCCTCACTTGCTGTGGGCTACAGCAACACTAAACCCCTGAGCTTGCCCAAGAAGGACCTAATGCACTTAAGTATCCCATGGAGAGAGACTCTCACTGCTGCCTGTTCTTCTTTGTTCTGAAAATGTCTGTGTACAACCTCGTTCTGTGGACGATAAACGACGTGCTGACTGATAAATAAGAGAAAATACAGTGAGTGCTGGACGAAGCTGTGAGTGACAACAACCCCACCCACTTTAAGTATGAGTATCGTTTGCGGTGGAAACTCTAGGTGCACCTAGGGTCTAGGTACCATATCTGAAGGGTTGCTTTTGGATCCAAAGGTACCATCCCGAAAAGTGTTTGGTGGAGACAAGTCTTCTTGCACCTCCTAAACTCAAAAAGGCCTTGTGACCCCATGTGAAGCTTTAGAGACCCCTAGTGGGGGTCAGGAACCCCAGGTTGTGAACCAGTGTAAAAGATGTTAAAGACAACCTTCAACAGTCATAAATTTAAGCACTGTTTATTTAGCCTTTAGTCCAACTATTATTTTGTTCTACATCACAACATTTTACATTCCACATCAATGTAACACAGTAAATTAGGTAAGAAACACAAAATAACACAACACAGTCTACAGGTAATAATCCTAAACAAGCACCGGCTAAAACATTTCAAAACATTATCAAAGTTTTCACAAATGTTGCAAGTTTGGTCTTGGTACTAGAAAGAAAAGAAAAATCAGTTCAGATCCCAGAAAAGAAGTTCTAATGCAGGACAGTTCATCTCTTAGAGTGTGTGAGATCACACAGTCGAGAGACGTCAGTCCTGCGTCAGCGCCGCTTTTCAGAGAGGCTTTGCTGATATGGCCCTGGTACACAGTCAAAATGGAAGTACCAATCATTCCTGGTTTTTTAGGAAAATCACTTATAAAAATTGAGAAAAATATCAAAAGAAAACTATTATAAAAAATACTCTATTGACCATTCCAATATTTAGACAAGGAAAACGGGTAGAAAGTTGAAGGGACCTTCACAAAACGTTGCAACTAAGTCAGACGATGGTCAGTGACATTCAGTGAGGTGTTACTGTGCAATATCGATACCAAGTCTCGTTACATTTTTTCCTGATTTACTATTCATGTGTGTGTGTAAGCAGTGAATGTTGCTAGCTAGTGTTGGATAAAACACAATTAAGGGACAAACTATACATTATATTAAGACATTTCGACTCTTATGTACACGTCCGACTCTTCCGCTAAGTTTTCTGCCTCAAAACAAAAGTATGTTCAAAGTAGCCTATGGAATGGTCTATTACTAACCACGTGCTCACATAAGCCTATTCCTCTCCATGCATCCTGACAATCATTAATTAGATAGCAAGGCTAATATCACCTGGAAAATTTCACTGCAACTACTTGATTGTGAGCAATATGAGAATGTTACATTAATAAACATCATCATAAGATTATGTTTCTCCAATGTGTCTAAGTGCAGCGTTCACAAACTTTTGTCCACACAGCCTTAAAGCGGTAATTTCCAATATCTCACTGCAGTTAAATGACAACTAGTTTGCACCATTACAAGATATTTCCAAAGATTTCAAATGACCTTGCATAGATAATTGACTTTGCATTCAGTTTTTGCAGAACTGTGTGTTTGTTTTGTTTTAGACTTTATCCCAAAATTCAGCATTTTCCATAAGGAGTAATGGATCACAGCGGGAGCACACGTGCTGATATACAC